GGCCCGCGCCCCCCCCACCCCGCCCCTGCGGCGGGCGCCGCGCCGGGCCCGGCTCTTTCAGCAGCGCTGCTCTTATTTTTATCGGTATTATTTATTTATTTCTCTCCGCCGCCCTTCTTGCCTTCCCCCATCGCTCCTCCCCGAGTGCCGAGTTCTTCCCCTGCAAGCACCATTTTTTTAAATTTATTTTCTATTGCTGGGGAGGTTTGCAGGAAAGTGACCTATTTTAACCCCCCTCCCCCTTTTATTTTTTTCATTCCCCTATTCCCGTTATCCAGGTAGCATCCCCTCTCCTTCCCCCCCTCCATTTTCCTTCGGCAGGTGGATGCAGCCCCGGGTGGGTTTCGGCGCTCGGGGGCCCGCTCCAAGGGCCTCCTTTGTGGGGTACCCGCATCCAAGGGTGCCCCCGCGATGGCAAAAATAAACGCATGGGAGCAAGACCCGCCGTGTGCCCCCGTGCCATTGTGCTGGGTGCGGTGCGAGCAGGGGGAGAACGAGGCTGGAAATGGTTGTTGTCAAGTGTAGGGCTTTAAATATCCCCGCAGAAATGACAGCAGGGAGCTGGCCTGCAGAGCCATCTTCCCATCTCATATATATATATATATATATGCATATATAAAAAATAGCACTTAATATTAATCGTGCTTGTCTCTGCTGCTTCTCGCGGTGCAGGCTGATTGATTAGGTAGCTTTTTAGTGGCCGAGTTGGTTAAATAGCAGTGGCGTTAACTAGTTGAACCGATTGCGTCCTTCACCTTTGGCTGTTGCATTTTGAGAGATTCTGCAGCAGTGTGTCCCGGCGTGCCAAGGGCAGATTAGCAAGATGTTACCTAAAGGTTTGGATCGTATTGATTCTTTACTATTAATGCTATTTATAGTGCCTGTGACATGGTTCTTGCTTTATGTATTTGCGCAAGGGTTGTCGGCTTGGAATGCTGCAAATGAGGTGGTCCCAAAATGCCATTGCCAACGGTGTGTGTCTCGTGGAATGCTGCAGTTCAGATCTACAGAGTCCGAAAAATAACTTTAGTCTATGGCACATCATAAGGGAGGAAATATTGTGGAAGAATATGATATGCTTTGACAGTGATAAGAGGTTTTGTTTTCCTCTTGCAGAATAAAAAATTCTACTGCAGTGAATATGATTTTAAATGCTTTTCTTCAAACTGGTTTGATTCTACATTCTCATCGTTGTTGTCCCTGTTCATATGGAATGTGTCATAGTTTTTGCTACTTATGCTCAAGGACAAACCTAATCAACGATTGGTTTGAGCCTTCATATTAGCTTTTTCACAACACTGGCCTACTTCTGACTGGCATGTTTGCCATTTTTAGGTCTCCTATCTGTTGATTCAAATACATTGAAAACTTGAACCTTAAGTTCTCCTTTGAACTTGAATGTTTTCCTTCAGGCTTTAAGAATGTCTCACTAAAGAGAAAGTAATTCCGGAAGAACAATTTAAATTTAGTTAAAAACTGCTTGAAGTAAAGTAAAAATTATTTGTTTCTTTCTCTCTTTTTTTCCTTATTTTTTTTTTTTTTTTTTTTAACTAAGCCAAAATTGTTTGCTGTTTGCAGAGGACCACATATTGCCGTTAAAATGAAGTGCAGATAAGGTGGATTAGGCCTAAAGTTGGGCTATTGTTAAGAGTTCTCTTGCGTGCCCTTCCATTAATTTCTATTATAAACTAGACTGGAACATTTAAAATGTTTACTCCTTTCTAAATAATATTTTCATTTGTTCAGCTTTCATCTTTGCCTATCCATTATAATTCATTAGCTTTTGTCACTTGAATAACATACTTCTAATGGACTGTAAGGCAACCTACTTTTTGGACATGGTGAGATCTATTAGAGAAGCAAATATACTAATAATTACATCTTCAGATGTATCCTCCTACTGATTTCCTGTAACGAGGATGTTTTGCGGAGAACAATAGATATGGCAAAGGATTCAGAGATTGGTTTTAAAGATGTAGTAGGTAGCCAGCTCTACTGTAATGAGTTGCATTTTAGACAAAACCTGCACCTTCTGAGCAGGATCAGTACAGTACTTTCAGGTACTTAGTCTTAAGGTGCTAATTCCATTTCAAATAAATAGATCCATCAAAGAAAAACTGGATATTTTTCTGTGTATTTCCGTTCCTGGTTGTAAGTATGTAATTTCTGATGAGTCTTAGTAGGGCTTACAATCTTTTGAAAAGTATTCCATTTATAAGTATATTGAACAGTATAGCTGCTTCATCAAAGAAAATAGTTGGTTTGAGGGTTTTTTTATGATGCAGAAGTGGTAAAGACACTATGATAAATGTCACTTGTTCTTGATATATTCTTGCATAATTACTAAGATGCTTATTTAGAATACTTTTCTATTGTTTTTTGGATAAGAACTGTTTAAATATCATATATGTTGTTGCATTGAAGCGAACACCATAACCTAAAGATCTTTCTTTGGCTTGTAGTGTACAGCAGTGACCTGGGCTCCTATTTTCTATGTATTTCCTTATTGAACCTAAACAAAGAGGAGAGTTGAACATCAGCGTTGGCTGGAATCTTGTCTGCTTTAGAAAATTGTCCTGTGTCAGGGTATTTACCACCTCTGGATATAAAAAGACCCAAATGAACCCTAAACAGTTATGCAGAACTTATATGGTTGACTGGAGGAGGGTATGTTTGAGGCAAGTTTAGCTATAGAGATACAGAGGTGAATGATTTAATACCTGTCCTAGCATGATGTTTATGCTGTCTTTTATAGCTCTTGGATGTGTCTTGCTCCTCTCTAACTCCCCCTTCTCGACAGACATGAGGCAGGATGAATCCCTGGCCTGTGCATTTTTCTGCTCTCCTGACAGGCTAAAACTACCTGTAGTCCAAGAAACATTGATGTTTACCTGCCTAGTCCCATCCTCCACCTTCTTTTCCATGTATGCCATTCCAGTAGCTCTGGTCCTTGTCTGAACCTGCACTGAGCCACTGCAGCCACACAGCACAAAGCAAACCCAAGAAAAAGCTCTGTGGTTTAGTGCCGACTTGGGGAGCTGAACCGCGCAGTGCAGTGTTAAACAAGTGCTAGGGACAACTCAAGGGACTGGGCTGAACCGTGAGAGCCAACAAGGACATTGGTTTATGTAGGCTGCTGTGGAGCCAGGGCCTCGCCAAAGACACATGTTTGGAGACAGAGGTGATTGGTAGCTTTACACATTTATAGTAGCTGGGTTGGTTGGGAGATTCTTTGCTTTTATTCTTCCACAGGCTAGGGAGATACTCATCATACATTGATTTCTGTGAAGAGAACAGATGGGCAAAAAAATCCAATGGATAAAGGGTCAGAAAAACCACCGATCTGTTCCTCTGAAGATTCAAGGGGGCACTAAATTGTGCAGAAGAGTAGAGCAAAGAGTCCTTCCTGTGAAAACAGAATTTAAAATCTGAAAACTTGAAATTAGAGGTGAAAGTGTCTTCGGTGTGGGGAAAAAATGTGTACAGAGCAGGAGGGAAGGATGGAGAGCTGTTTAAAGCGCAGTTGGCGTTTAGACACTATATTCCTTCCTC